GGCACCGAAAGCTCCACAAGATAAGATTGATTAATCCCTCAACTTGTTTCACTGTTCCACTCCACGGTCAGGCTATACCGGGTGGATGTGGTCGGAACTGGATTTGGTTGGGATGGGATCGATTCCAGAGAGGTTCCTTTTTGATTGCTTGCTTGCGTTATCCCACTTGTTTGGTATCTGGCGTATGCAGGTGTCGAAGAACGGGACTAAGTTTGGTTGACATACTTACGCTTTAGAACGTAGACGTCACTGCAAGCATACCATAGGCTTCAGCTGGCAGCTCTTGTCTGCCCATTACTATGATTCTCGGTCCATTCGAGTGTGAGTAACGGGGCTATGCTAGGAGGGAAAAAGCGTGATAAGAGGGAGAAGATGGAGGGGCATGCGACACTGAGACCCTACGGGTTGGGCAAGACCATCGGACAAGCCTATCCTGTGTGGTCAATTAGATGTGCAGTCTGATCAGAAAGAATCCGCATAAAGATACTCCGCGTCCAGACGGAGTTTTCCTCGTAAGCAGGTTTGTCGTCATGGGCAATCAATGGCCGGGACGCAGGGGAGAGACAAAGGATACCAGGGAACGCATCCCATTGCCGTGTTAAAGTGCTTGGCATCCTGGGGACAGAAGTGCAACATTGCGGGTTTACATCATGTGTCTGCACTTAAGCTGCATGGTTGTAAGTAGGGTAATAATATTGCAGCAGCAAGCTCCTAAAGTACGGTGGCGTGGATATTGAATCCTCCCGTTCATATCGGCCAGTGTGGGAGAAACATGGGCCGACGTTGATTATTGAGGGCGGATGTATAGTTAGGGTGAGGGCCATATCACAGAGCATGACGGCAAGAGTCGGTGAAAAGGAAAACGCAAAATAGAATCATTCACCCGGAGCAAGATGAGCTGTCGGTAAGACCACTTGGAGCTAGGTTGTGCAATGATGCGTTGGGTGCGAGAGCTGTGGTTGGAGGCAGCCGTATCCTGTTCCCCCGTTTTCGGGACATAGGATGAAGAGTACGGCGTATACCAGATCCTGGACACCATCAGATTTTCTCCCTCTCAACAATTGTGGAAATTAGGAGGTGGATCGTTCTGAGTTGGAGTCCTGTCCGGTGAAACTCCCCATCCACAATTTCGACCCCTTTTCCTGTCCCGGTTATAAGGGAAATTGGTGTATATTGTGGGAAGAAGTTGTTGATATGATGCGCCGTGACTTGGATAACCCCAAGACCATCTATACTATAGATCTGAGGCGGCGTGACTGCCAGAACACCGCCGGGACAACCTCAGGCACCCCAGGGCAGGCCAGGGCGCCGACCAACCACAGCCCGCAGACCAAGCCAGATGGACCCACTAGGCCACGCACTAGAAGCACACTAGCTGATCCGTAAGTATTGTCTGGCTGCATAGGAACGGGGGTCGACCCAGTTCGTTGCTTTTTTTTTTTCTTTTGCCCCCGGCCGATGGCCAGTGACCACCTGGGAAACCGTTCGCCCGCTGGCCTCGGGGGGTCCCTCTAGTATATCGTGAGCTTCACTACTTATACTCTCCTCTTTCACCTTCTCTCAGCTCCTTTTCTCTCCCTCTCTCTCTTCCAACAAACCTTCTTCCTCTTACCTTTAATCATCTTTTTTTTCACCTCCCTTCTTCCCCCCATACATCATACTCTCCGCAATAGCTCTTTCTTGAGTGTTTTGTGATTTAAACTCTACTGTCCCACTTTCCGCTTAATATTTACCCCTCCTCCTTTACACATTCACCATGGCTGCCCGTCCTCAGAACATTGGTATCAAGGCCATTGAGGTCTACTTCCCTCGTCAGGTTCGTGTCTCTTGCCACTTCATTCGATTCTGTTCCTGTCTGTTCTGAGCTGTGTTCTAATATGTCCCTGTTTTTTCTAGTGTGTCGACCAGAGCGAGCTCGAGAAGTTCGATGGCGTGAGCGAAGGCAAATACACCATTGGTCTTGGTCAGACCAAGATGAGCTTCTGTGATGACCGTGAAGGTATGCATTAGACAATGACAGACATCGTCCGCATGTCATGATCGCGTGACAATGCTAACGTGCAACTTCCTGGCAGACATCTACTCCATTGCCCTGACCACCTTCTCCTCCCTTCTCCGCAAGTACAACATCGACCCCAACTCCATTGGCCGTCTGGAGGTCGGTACCGAGACCTTGCTCGACAAGTCCAAGTCCGTCAAGTCCGTCCTGATGCAGCTTTTGGCTCCTCACGGAAACACCAACGTTGAGGGTGTTGACAACGTCAATGCTTGCTACGGTGGCACCAACGCTGTTTTCAACAGCATCAACTGGCTCGAGTCCTCTGCTTGGGATGGCAGAGATGCCGTCGTCGTCTGCGGTGATATTGCCCTGTACGCCGAGGGTGCTGCTCGCCCTACCGGTGGTGCTGGCTGTGTCGCCATGCTGATCGGTCCCGACGCCCCTATTGTGTTCGAGCCTGGTCTCCGTGCCTCCTACGTCACCCACGCCTACGACTTCTTCAAGCCCGACCTGACCAGCGAGTACCCCGTCGTGGACGGTCACTTCTCCCTCAGATGCTACACCGAGGCCGTCGACGCCTGCTACAAGGCCTACAATGCTCGTGAGAAGACCCTGAAGGAGAAGGTCCAGAACGGTACCAACGGCACCGCCCAGGACGACTCCAAGACTGCCTTGGACCGTTTCGACTACCTCTGCTACCACGCCCCCACCTGCAAGTTGGTGCAGAAGTCTTTCGCTCGTATGCTGTACAACGACTACCTCGCCAACCCCACCCACCCTGCTTTCGCCGAAGTGGCTCCTGAGCTCCGTGATCTGGATTACGCCACTTCTCTCACTGACAAGAACGTGGAGAAGACCTTCATGGGTCTGACCAAGAAGCGCTTCGCTGAGCGTGTCAAGCCCGCTCTTGAGGTTGCCACTCTTTGCGGTAACATGTATACTGCCACTGTCTGGGCTGGTCTGGCTAGCTTGATCTCCCACGTTCCTTTCGATGCTAGCGAGTCCAAGCGCATTGGTCTCTTCTCCTACGGCAGTGGTCTTGCCAGCTCCCTGCTTAGCGTGAAGATTGTCGGCGACGTGTCCAACCTGGTAGAGAAGCTTGATCTCAAGAACCGTCTTAGCAACCGTAATGTTCTCCCTCCCCAGTCCTACGTTGATGTAAGTATCCCAACGACCTAATCTTGACTTGCACCTCGAAGTCCAGTTGCTAACGTCTGGTTACAGATGTGTGCCCTCCGTGAGCACGCTCACCTCAAGAAGAACTTCAAGCCTTCCGGCAGCACCGAGACCCTCTACCCTGGTACCTACTACTTGACTGAGGTGGACGACATGTTCCGCCGCAAGTACGACGTTAAGGCATGAATTATGACGAGCATATGATGGACTTGCTTTCGACCTTGCTTCTTTGGACATGACCGGTTGCTTAGACGGTTTTACTAGATTCCCTTCAGCATGCGCATTGTTTATTTGTGGTTCGCCTTAATAGAGCTTGGGGGCAGCGAAAAGCTCCTACCAATTTCCGGGTCTGCTTTTCTCCTTTATATTGGTTCTTAATGTTTCATACGTTGTTCATGTATCCTCCCAGTGAGGAGACCTTCTCTTGTCCAGACAGGAGCTGGAATGCAATTATATAAGACGATGACCAATAATTCCAGACTCATCAGGAGTCATTCAAGGGCAATAATTGATTATAATGTGGCTGATCAAGATGTACAACTTGAGTAACTGTCTGTAGACCTTCACTGTTTCTCTTTACCGGCTTATTGGTTGCTTACTGTAGCATACCTTATCATGTGACATGTGTGCAGAGAGTGGCGCGTTCTTCCTGCATTTCCACCCTGCAGACTGCACTGATTGACCCAAGCGCCTAGGGGACATAACGACAAATAGGCATGCTGCTGGATTCACGGACTTCATGATGGGCGTGAAACCAGGCGTGACCAAGAATAGCAGCAGTTCAAGCTACAAGGTCGCTCTGTTGTTTTATTTCCCGCCGACTCTCCTTTTACAGTGTCTGTCAGTCGCCGTCTGACCCATCTACAACCAAACCTCGTCACACAATAAGCACTCAAGTTCAACCAAAATGACTGTGATTGGTCCAGTTGGGGAGATCTCAAGCACACTGCAGGCTGTCGAACAGGGAAGAGCCACTGAGGCATCCTGACGCCGTCCGGGGTCTTAGCCGGCGCCTACTGTGACGACCTTCAAGACCTCTGATTTATCGACACATCCAGGCGGGGATATTCTTAGAACCTTTTGGGCTTGAGAGTATCGCATCAGTTGATTAGTATTCGTTTTCATTCTGCAAGCTTCGACTGCAATAGCCAATGCCCGTTGAGTGGGCTGCGGCTCCCCCAGGCCCTGGTATCAAACCTCGGCGGCTAACTCTACAACGGCACCCCCCTCAAGCACTACACGCCGTGGAACTGTACCAGTCACTTGCGTTTTATTTTTTGACGTCAAACACCTGCCTGCCGCCGACTAATAGATGCCCCAGGCGTGACGCCTTTGCGGGAACTCAACGATCCTAGTACATTACCCAGAATAGACGAAACACCCAATGTTACCCAATATAGATCCTATGCAGATTTCGAACGAACCATCGTCGGAATAGACTACCGACAGCCTGGTTCAGATCTGAAGAAGCGAAGAAGATGTCAAATATAGAAACTTTTTGACGCGCGACTGTCGATGAAACGCTTTCGCTTGCCCTAGGATCGTTTGCTCTGCACATCATCCAAGCAGATATCGACATCCCTGTGTCGATGGCCCTACCATCTCCATCATGAATACCTAGTATGGTTAGCGACTGGCTGTCGCAATGGAGCCAGATCTGTTTCATGCCCCTGCAGGCAGTTCGATTGATTCTGTATCTTTTTTTGGATCAAGGGACTCAATAGGTCCCAGGTTGAAGAACATTTAATATCCAACCGTTCTCCAGTCTGGCTATGCCTCAGGTCAGTCAAGTCGTTCACCAAGACAAAGCGAACTCGACAACATTGTCTCTTCTTTTGCCTAGTGCATCTCTTTCTTCTCTATTCATTTGACCTTAGCTTCGTACGCGAGCATTCCCTGTTTGATACCTCTTGGGAAGCTGGACTTTCCCGCAATCTTGTTTGCTCTAAATCGTCTCAGACCTGCGGTGACTTTATATAGCAAGATGTCTGTGGAGTACTCTTATTATCGTCCCTCAACCCCTCCTGCATTGCATCTGCAAGAATATAGTGGAACGGGGCATAGCCGCAACGCTTCTGATTCTTCTGTTTACTCCAACAACTCGTCGCCCTGGTCCGTCATCACGTCGGCTACCAGCCCTGTAGTTGACTCGCCCCCGCAACACCACCATGGGCCTACTCTTCTTCCGAAGATCAGACCTCAAGACATTGTGATTGAGCCTCCACCCGCCAGTGGATCCCAACGTCAACGGCGGGTGCTGTCAAACACACGCAATCCTCCTGATTCTTTACCGCTTGCTTCCAACCGCCGGTCAAGCCATCGGGTTGCTGTTGAGGCCTCAGGGTGCATTCCTATGGCATCCCCGGCCGTGGCGTCGCCAAAGTATACCACTCGCAATGGCTCGTCATTATCATCTCCCGTGAGCGTTACGCCGGCGCAGAAGCGCAAGGCGACGAGCGCGCACACTCGATCAGTCTCTGCCTTCAACGTCGAGGATCCAAGGACAAGTCGATGCGGATATCCAGCATATCGACAGGTCATCAGATACGCCTCTCAACCACAGAGTTCCCCTACCACACCGGCTACGCCCGCCACACCCAATATTATAGTGTATCCGCCTTATGCGCCTCACTCGCCAGCGGAGCCATACTATCCCAAAGTGTACCCTCCGGTGCAGGTGCCACTCATGCTTCCCGGCTCACCATACGGGTACGTGCGAGCGTCGAGTGCACAATGCTCTCCCATCGGTCTTGTTCACCAGACCGAGAGGACGAACTCTCAGTCAACCACCTTGCTCTCGTACCTTACCACTCCGACACAAGCAATCAACCTCGTGCGCAACGTGAACGTGATTCCGACACGAGGCTTGCACGATTACTTTTGGTGGGACATTCGGAACTTGCGCAGTTGGACTTCGTTTTCTCTATCCACGTTCAACTCTATCAGTGGACTTCCGAAACTTCTCAAAACCGCAATCCCTTCGCATCTTACGCCTCTTAATATCCTTCCGAGCTCTTATTTGTCCCCAGATTGCGAGCCAGCTCTAGTCAACGTCATCCGAGACATCTATGCACCTCGTATCAATGCTGCCTTGGCAGTCTCGCAAGGCCCGGATCACTTGTCCCTCTACGCTGTTCCTATTCCGCGTGGGTCGCCTAACAAGAACTATGGCGGGCCTCATTTTCTCGCCAACTATGCGTCTGACACCGAACGAACAAGCTCGGGCCTTGCCAGAGGACGACTCGTTGGTATTGTCAAGACCTTCGACCGCTGGAACACGGGAATGCGCAACGAAGCGCCTCACCGCAGGGTGGAGTATTTGAACGGTCTAGCACATCTGCAGCGATGCATGCGCGAGCACTCTTGCCGCTACGGCTTCATTCTCACCGAGATCGAGCTCGTGTGTGTACGGGCAGGTTGTGACGAGGGCGACGATGTGCCCTACTTTGGTTTCCTGGAGCTGTCTGCGCCAATTCCAACCAAGCTCGCAATCAACCAGCATGGGCATGACTCGGGGCCATATTCCAGTACTTATGACTACCCGCATTCGCCCACTCCATCCAGCGACAGTTCCTTGGCGAGCCAGTCGCCCATACTGGATAGCTATCCAATTTCGGATTCCGATGAGCTGGACGTGTCAATGACCGCCAGTCTAGCTTTGTACTTTTTACTGATGCTTTCAAAATCGGTTCCCTTGCCGTCACAACCGTCTGCTCATCTCAACGTGGGAGGCCCAGGTGCCCTGACCCGGCAGCGCATCCTACCGGAAAAGAAAGACAAATGGATCCCGGAGCCCCAGATTGGGGAGCGCCGTGATGCGAAGCGAGTGCGAGGTTGGGTGTGGCCCCAGGATGCCTGGCATCGTCGAGAAGGTGGAGGAGCTTCTCGTTCCCGAGCAATGACGACGGAGCCCAGACCCAAAAAGTGGCACAAATAATATACGTTAATCTTAGCGGAGACAGGTTTCTCATTGCTGCTACTAATTTGGTTTGTTGTTATATAAATTTTGTCTTATAGTAATGTAATGTCTTTCCATATGCCAACCGAGCATACTTTCACAGTACAGGGCCAGAGCCATTCATCAATAGCGTCAAATCTCACTCACAATGACATAAACCCTAGCATAGTAGCAAATCATGCCCTGCAGTCACCTCCAAGGTCCCCAAACCATTCTCCAAACTCCAAACACATAATCAATAATGATGATCCCGGCTTTCCGTTTTGGGCGACAAGGACCTTGGGGATCCAAGTACCCGGGGGAGTGATGAGCACCACCACCATATATTACCTATTATCTATTTATCGAATATAAACCCTGCTGCATGCACTTATTTGAACAATCAATCACTCAAGCAATATCTCTACTCTACTATATCGCATTTACTACCTACGAAGCCTCCACCACCAATCACACATCAACCATACATACTACACACCAACCACCTCACCAACCAGACATGGTAGGCAAAACCACCACACCACAATCATCCTCATCCTCCTCCTTCCCGGACATCCTCGATGTCCTCATCATCGGCGCCGGCCCCTGCGGCCTAGCAGTCGCTGCGCGCCTCCGCGAAGAAACCCCCTCCGCTATGTTCACCGACGACGAACACCAACGCTACCACTGGATCAACAAGCACAGTGGTCGAATGGCATTGGTACAGGCGCACCGCGGGAAACTCAAGGGCGTGAAGGCGGAGAAGTGGCAGAGGTATAATGATGATGAGCATTATCCTAGACGGGGGTCATCTTCGTCTTCATCTTCCGGTTCTGGGTCGGGTTCTGATTCTTCTCCGCCGTCGTTGTCTTCGTCGGTTTCGTCGGATGATGGGGTTTATATGGGGAAAAGGGATGATAAGAATGATAGTGGCTATGGAAATGGCAATGGGAATGGGGGCATATCTACGCTCGTACTGGATAGTTCCGGGGACAAGTGGATGGAGAGGTGGAATCGGGCATTCAAGACATTGGAGATTGAGCAGCTGCGCAGCCCGATGTTCTTCCATGTGGATCCCAGGGATCGGGATGGGATGTTGGCGTATACGAGGGAGGTGAGGAGGGAAAGGGATTTGTGGGAGATTTCGGGCTGCGTGGGGAAGGAGTTGAGTAAGCATAAGAAGAAGAAGATGAGGTCGAGGGCGCAGTAAGTTGTTCCGTATATGAAGTGACTGATATCCTGTGTTTGGTTTGCTAACTGTGTGGGTGAATAGGGCCGTTGGTGAGGTCGAGATTGATGAAAGAGATCGTAAAGATTACTTCTCGCCGTCGACGGACTTGTTTGAAGATTACTGTGGGAGCATTGTATCGCGGTATGGACTGGACGCGCCGGGAATGATCAGGCAGTGCGAAGTAAATGATATATCCTACGACTATCACTCTGAGTTGTCGCCGTCTGACAAGATCTTTACTGTTACTACGGCGGAGGGCAATCGGTTTTATAGTCGTGTGGTGGTGCTGGCTATTGGGCCGGGGAGGACGAAGATACTTCCGTTCAAGCTGACCAGTGAAGAAGAGAAAGGGGCTTGTCATAGCACGGAAATTCGCATGTTCCCGAGTATCAATGTGAAGGCCAAGATTAAGCAGCGTCAGGAGACGAATGTGGTGGTTGTTGGGGGTGGACTGTCGTCAGCGCAGGTGGTGGATATGGCCATTCGGCGAGGTGTGACCAAGGTTTGGTTTCTTTTGAGGTCGGATTTTAAAGGTACGTACTAGACAGGTAGTTGGCAGGTTGCACAGCCTCCTACGTGATCCATCCAAACTCAGACGTGGGGGATGCTGACCAGATGATTTTTAGTCAAGCACTTCGACCTCGCATTGAACTGGATGGGCAAGTTCAAAAACTTCGAAAAGGCAGCATTCTGGTCCGCAGACACGGACGAGGAACGCCTTGAGATGATCAAAGCCGCGCGTAATGGCGGCAGTATCACGCCACGGTATCAGAAGATTCTGAAGCAACATGTGGCAGCCCATCGGCTTTCTATACACCCACGCACCGTCATCTGCGGCAAGGAGTACTGCGCCTCCTCGCGCACATGGCGTCTTACGACAGATCCTCCGATCCTTGACCTTCCTCGCATCGATTATATATACTTTGCAACAGGCATGCAGGCCGATGTGAATGAGCTCCCATTGCTCCAACGCATGAACCGTGAGTATCCGATTGAGACTAAGCAGGGATTGCCTTGCATCACGGATGACCTGATGTGGCAATCGAATGTGCCACTTTTCTTGACAGGCCGGCTGGGGTCCCTTCGTTTGGGACCCGGTGCTGCCAATCTTGAGGGAGCGAGGCTGAGTGCGGAGCGGATTGCCTGGGCGATGGAGGATGTGTTGGGTAGAAAAGGATCAGAGGATACGGGGTCTGAACGATCCAAGCAGTGCTTTTGCGGTTTGGGGAATCGGTATGCTGAGCTTGCCAACGTGGACGAATAAGCCGAGGCAATGAACGAACACGAGAATAAGATTCGAGGCTGTCTGTGGAGGCTGTAGTACTGCATATACCTCCTCACTGCGGAGTTTACTCCTGAGAATGGCTCACCATGATGATGAAGATGTGCCTTTAGAGAGACATTGATGCTGTATGTTAATTTACTATACGGTATGAAATTTACAGACAAAGATTATTAGTGGTTGTATAGCAATTGGAGCCAATAATACCTGAATAACGCTGAAAATACCAGTCGTATGTATAATTGGCGAGGCTGATTCGGGCAGTTTGTTCATGTTGAACAACTGTGCTGCTGCCTGCTACACACAACTTAACCCACCTTCATCTCATCTCATCCCACCAGATCGCAGCTTTGTTGCCTCCGTGAGTGTCATTCCCCCATCAACCGACAGATCAAGCTTCTAAGCCTCACTCAAATCGTCCACCTCAGCTGGCAAGATGCAAGATTTGCCATCGTGAAGTCCACTCAGCAGAGCCTAGACACTCACCAGCCACACCCGCAGTGCCTGATCAGAGCATCCAATCTCCGCATCCGAGACAGCTCGCAGCACCAGCATGAATTAATCGCCGCATCCAAAAGCCATTCGTCATGTACAAAGCCTCAGTCAGTTGAAGTCATGACGCCACATCAGATAATCTTATTTTCTAGGATCTCGGTGATTTCCTCAGCCACAGGGGGGGGGGGGCGAAACAAACTTGAAAAGGCGAATAGGAACAATCCGTGGTAAGTGTGGCGCAGGAGGTGTGGCCGTGCACATTCTTCAGGATAGAGCCAACGTGATTGAATGCTCGAGGCGAATGAAAGGCCGGATCACCAATGCGCACTAGGAAATCTGGAACGCAACTAAAATTCATTGGCGGCAACGGCATGTCGTGACTCCTCATTGACCGACTAATCGTCTGACTTCCGAACTAAACGAAGGAGGCGCAGCCGCCCGCTAGGAACTCATTTGCTGGAACTATACCTCACCCGGCGGCAACTTCCAAGGGCCACTTTTCTCTCGGCATTTCCATTTGGAAGGGGTTTTTGAGTATGCGTTGATTGCAACGCTCCACTCAGAGTTCAGCATGCGTCATTTGTCCAAGGTTTTGCGCGCGCCTCGATACAGTTGATGAAATGTGATTGCAGGCTTGTGATCGGAGGTAGACCTTCCGTTTCTCTAAATTCCCCCCTCCTGGTTGCTTCTTGCATTCTCATAGGAGAGATAAGATTACGCTGGAGATGAACAGGAGCTCCGTCGGCGTCTAGACTGAGCAATATAACTTGCTTTGGTAGAGTGGAGGTGTCATGGCGTCTTCAACTTTAAGATAAAGCGCTTTGGGTATATACCCCCGCTCGTTAGTTGCAGCCATGGGTCATATCTCTCCACCCCTTGGTCTACGCCGTCGGTGATAGGACGGATTGAAGGAGGCTGTGCAGCGCGTTGTGATGCGACCAAGCATATGGGTCAAATCAACTCACTCACACTTCATGGTTGTTTTGGCGTATGGCAAAAGCCGGACTCTTGCTAGCCTCTTCCTCGGACCTTGCAACCGCTTCCTTTTTTCATCCCGTGCTTGTTGGGGAAGGCCCTTGGCGTTACAATATCTCTTCTCAGTGCCACGGATGATACGAACCAGACAGGAGGATTGATACGAAGAAATCCGTTATGAGACAATCAGACTATTAAATTTTAGACTACCCTTTTCGGAAGCACAGCCCCCAGACCAGATCTACTAATAACGGGTGTCGCTCGGGCACAGAACCAAACAGTAGCAGGTGCAACACTTTGAATTTGATACTGAATTCACCAGGATTTATGCCCATTTCTTTGTCTTTGCCAAATCAGATCTCGTTCCGGTCGCATCAATGCAGACCCCAGACGAGCATCCTCAGTCTGGCTTCTTGAACCCTTTCGGGGTTTCAGATAGAGAGGTATGTTCAACAGCGCTAGAGCTTAATGAGAGAGCCATATATTCATACGCTTACCAACAGCAGCACCCTATATCATCCGACTCAATACGAACAAGCATATCATCTATTCGACCTTCTTCACCCGCGGACATGGCGTCCACTCTATCGCCAGACAGGCTCAGGGTACGGAGTGACACGCGAACGTCGGCTCAATCGCTGGACGGTGAGACGTTACGTCCGCGAGCAGACTCTACCATCTCCAGTGCAGATACAGCTGTAAGGTCGAGAGCCAACTCTGAAGCCACTAATGCCCCGACCAAGATGGAGTACGATGATGTTTCGGTGGCCGATGCCTTGAATCCCGATCCTCGAAACGAACAGGACTTCATTGTGCCAGATAATAAGTTCGCCTTCTCTCCAGGACAATTGAACAAGATGCAGAACCCTAAATCTTTGGCTGCGTTCCAGGCACTTGGAGGCATGCAGGGATTGGAACGAGGACTGCGGACAGATCTGACGTCAGGTCTGTCGGTTGATGAGACTCTCTTGGAGGGTTCGATCAGTTTTTCGGAAGCGACTTCCCCTGACTATGCCTCTTTCAAAGAAACCGCTCCTCCAAACATTGACGCTCCGATAATAGAGTCCGGTACGCAGTTTCAAGACCGCATAAGCGTGTTCTGTCAGAACAGACTGCCGGCTCGGAAGTCAACGGGATTCTTGAAGCTGTTTTGGCAAGCCTACAACGACAAGATCATCATTTTGTTGACGATAGCTGCTATCGTGTCGCTGTCCCTTGGTATCTATGAGACTACGAGTGAAGGTAGTGGAGTGGATTGGATTGAAGGAGTTGCGATCTGTGTGGCTATTCTGATAGTCACCATTGTGACTGCTGCAAATGACTGGCAGAAGGAAAGACAGTTTGCTAAGCTGAATAAGCGTGTAAGTGCTTACCTTTCTTCTGTTATTAACGAAGACCACCACTGACTTCTTCAGAACAACGACCGAGAAGTCAAGGCTGTCCGATCTGGCAAGGTCTCCATGATATCGATACACGACATCACAGTCGGTGACATTCTTCATGTCGAGCCGGGCGACTCCATCCCTGCGGATGGGGTTCTCGTCTCGGGTCATGGCATCAAATGTGACGAGTCTTCCGCTACAGGAGAGTCTGACCAGATGAAGAAGACTGATGGACATGAAGTTGGGCTCTTGATCATGAATGGGAAGGCTACGAAGAAGCTCGACCCGTTCATGATCTCTGGCAGCAAGGTGCTCGAAGGTGTTGGTACCTATCTCGTCACGAGTGTCGGACCGTACTCAACCTACGGCCGGATCCTACTGTCTTTGCAAGAATCGAATGATCCAACACCTCTTCAAGTCAAGCTAGGTCGACTTGCTAATTGGATCGGCTGGCTAGGCTCAGGGTAAGAGCGACCCTCCTTTGTATTCACATGGTGTTGTTTGCTAACTGCTTCTAGTGCTGCGATTATCTTGTTCTTCGCTCTGTTCTTTAGGTTCGTGGCGGATCTATCCCATAACACTGGAACGCCTGCGGCCAAGGGAAAGGAGTTCGTCGACATCCTCATTGTTGCTGTTACCGTCATTGTCGTTGCGATTCCTGGTTAGTAGTCTCCCTATGCTAGATCTATGACTGTTACTGACTGATATCCACAGAGGGTCTGCCGCTTGCTGTAACTTTGGCACTGGCATTCGCCACAACCCGAATGGTCAAGGAGAACAACCTTGTGCGCGTCCTCCGTGCCTGTGAGACAATGGGAAATGCAACAGTTATTTGCTCCGACAAGACCGGGACCCTTACCCAGAACAAGATGACTGTTGTGGCAGGGACCTTGGGCTCGAAAAGTTTCAAGCATACCCCAGGCGAGGAACGCTCATCTGAAGTCTCGACTCCCGCTGAGTTTTTCAAGCAATATTCAGGCAAGCAGCGGGACCTCATCCTTCATAGCATCGCCTTGAACTCTACTGCTTTCGAGGAAGAGAAGGATGGGTCGAAGGAGTTCATCGGCAGTAAGACCGAGGTGGCTCTGCTGCAAATGGCCAAAGATCATCTCGGCCTGGACGTTACTGCAGAGCGTGCCTCTGCGGACGTTGTCCAATTGATCCCCTTCGACTCTGCACGTAAGTGCATGGGGGTTGTCTACCGGGAGCCTACAATGGGTTATCGCCTCCTTGTCAAGGGTGCTGCTGAGATAATGGTCGGTTCATGCACGACTCAGATGGTCGAGGCAGACTCTTCTCACGGCCATATTTCCACTGATGCCTTGCACGAGGGAGACCGACAGGTTATCCTAAACACAGTCGAAGCTTACGCAGGTCAGTCCCTACGGACGATCGGACTAGTGTACCGCGACTTCCCAAGCTGGCCGCCGAAAGACGCCCGATGCTTGGAAGATGATCCGGAATCCGCCAGATTTGAGGATGTTTTCCGCGACATGACCTGGATCGGGGTTGTGGGCATCCAGGATCCTCTCCGGCCCGAAGTGCCCGCTGCCATCCAAAAGTGCCATGCGGCAGGTGTACAAGTGAAGATGGTCACTGGTGACAACATTGTAACCGCCAGTGCGATAGCCTCGTCATGTGGTATCAAGACAGAGGATGGGATTGTCATGGAAGGACCCAAGTTTCGCCAGCTTTCTGACGAGGAAATGGATCGAGTCATCCCTCGTCTGCAAGTGCTAGCTCGCTCGTCACCCGAGGATAAGCGGATTCTGGTGGCACGGCTCAAGAAACTAGGCGAGACTGTCGCCGTCACCGGTGATGGTACTAACGATGGGCCAGCCCTGAGAACAGCTGATGTCGGCTTCTCCATGGGAATTGCTGGAACAGAAGTCGCGAAGGAAGCCAGTTCGATCATCCTTCTCGACGACAATTTCAAGTCCATTGTTACCGCCATTGCATGGGGCCGGGCCGTCAACGATGCTGTCGCCAAGTTTCTTCAGTTCCAAATCACGGTCAACATCACAGCTGTGGTCTTGACCTTTGTTTCGTCTTTGTACAGCAGTGAGAACAAGAGTGTCCTGAACGCGGTGCAGCTGCTCTGGGTCAACTTGATTATGGACACATTTGCAGCTCTTGCCTTAGCGACTGACGCACCAACAGAGAAGATTCTCAACCGCAAACCTGTTCCCAAGAGCGCATCACTATTTACAGTGATCATGTGGAAGATGATCCTCGGTCAAGCGCTCTATCAGCTGGCCATCACCTTCATGCTCTACTTTGGTGGAAATCAGATAATCGGATCGCGACTTGGAACCGACGACCCGCAGACGGTGCTCAACACTATTGTGTTCAATACCTTTGTGTGGATGCAGATTTTCAATGAATTCAACAACCGACGACTGGACAACAAGTTCAACATCTTCGAAGGCATGTTCCGCAACTACTGGTTCCTAGGAATCAACTGCGTCATGGTCGGCGGTCAAATAATGATTATCTTCGTGGGAGGAGAGGCTTTTGGCGTAACCCGTCTCGATGGGATTCAATGGGCCATTTGCATTATCTGCGCGCTGGGCTGCCTCCCATGGGCAGTTGTTCTCCGTTTGGTCCCCGATGGGCCATGCGAGGTTGCTCTCAATTTTGTCGTCCGATGCATGAATTTTATCTTTAAGCCCATCGGCCGGGCTATGAGTCATCTTGCGGCCATGATTCGCTCTTGTCTGCGACCGGTGAAAAGAACAGCCCAGCGTGTTGTGAAGCGCGGTGCGAAGGCAGAGCAGAACACCAGCACTGATGCCTTGCCCGACGAGGAGGCAGGAAGGGCGTCGTTGCACGAGTTGAAGAGAGAGCCGACGCCGGAGGCGCCTGTTACATCAATTCCGGTGCCTCCAATTACTATTACGACTTCTTGATGATTTGTATGATGTCTAATTAGCGGGTTTTGAGCTTCTGTATATATGGGTATACAGCGATTAAGCATGCGTGGGTATGCAGATAGTGCATGGAGTTGGTGGCTTTTTGTTAGATTCGAAACAAGCAGTATATGTACAATAGATGACTATAATACCCAGAAAAGTGTCTCTATAATCAAAGCATAATAAAATCTATCCGTGATAATACTAAATTATTCCCCCTAAATGTATGTTCAAATGGTAGTTATTGATTGAATAGTCTAGTCCTGACCCTGACAGGGGTTGCCTCAGGCCTGCCGGCCCGCACTCCGCAGCGACCCTCGCTCTCCGCCGCCACTTCACCCTCATTCATCACCACCATCTTCTCCAGGAGCTCTTGATTCCTTCTGTCCGTTCCAATCCACGCTGTCAATTCATCTCAGTCAAACACAGTAAGACTGTACCCACCTAACTCGCTAGGAACACCACACCCATCCCCCTCCTAGCCACCCACCGCATATCTCTCTACCTGACCACCTCCGTCATCTCCTTTCCCCGCGGACACCTGGTAATGACGCTGCCTACCTACCACCCAGCTCCAGCTCCAACCCACCACAATCGCTAACCAGAAACTTCACCACCAGATACAGACCTCCTCAATTGACACTTCAACAAACACTACCCAATATACTACACTCCCCATCCCTAAACCTCCAGCACAGCAACCGCAACAATGGCCCAACTCAACTACCGCACAATCAACATCGACGTCCTGGACCCCGAGTCCTCGATCAACTTTCCCATGGAGACTCTCCTCCCACCCACTCTCCCCGCCCCAACGACCTCCGGCGCCGCCGCCTCCGTCGTAAACCAGGTGCGCCAGCTCCTCCGCAGCGGCGACAACGAGGGAGCTCTGCGGTACGTGCTCGAGACGGCGCCGCTGGGCGGCGATGACCGCGCAAAGGGGGTGCATTTGGCCGCTGTCGTGGAGGTCTTGCAGGGTATTCGTCAGGGAGAGATGAGTCACGTGCTGGAGTCTGTGTGTACCGGTGAGGGTGGGTCGGAGAGAGCGGATTGTTTGATGAAGTATTTGTATGGTTTCCCCCCTTCACTTCTCTGTGTTATACCAAGTGGTGGGTTTGGTGCTTGTGGATGTGCATACTAATGAATCTTTGTGTTGTGTATAGGTACAAGGGCATGGCTGCGCCAGCTCCCAGTAGCGCGGCACAGTCGCCTCGCATGTCGCCGCAGAGTACGGGATTCTCGCAGATTCAGGCCCGCAATCTGGGTGAGGGAGGTGGTGGACAGCAGATGAGTGTGTTGTTGAACTGGCATGAGAAGTTGGTGGAGGTTGCGGGGACGGGGTCGATTGTTAGGGTCATGACGGATCGGAGGACTGTTTAAATTGCATGATTCTTGTTGTGTTTAGATTTGGGTTGTTGTATGTTGAAGATGGAGGTGTGTGATCTGTGTACTCGTGTTCTTCGTCAGGATGATATCCTAGATGTGCCTCTTTTTTTTTTTCCCCCTTTCCTCGTCAATATTATACAAGCACATTATTCTATACTATACATGAACCAACTCCACTGAAATCATGATCAATTACCGATAGAACCACCACCCAACAAATCCTTCAGATTCAACTGCCCACTTCCTCTCTCCAACGGCTTCGCCTGACCCTCACCCTCCTTCCACCCAATCATATAAATCAACCGAAACGTCGCCGGCACTCCCCTAGAGCCCTCCTCCTTATGCAACTCACGATAAATCGCCTCATTCGCCAACAGCACATCCCTCGACATGGGCCCCAACTCCCGATGCAGGATGGCGTTATTCTCCCCCATTGCCTGCAAATCGCCCATCAACGCAAAGGTATCCGGATACTCCACCACAATATCCTCCACATCCACCGTCAACATCTTAAATCCCGCCTTGTTCAACAATCCCCCAACATCCCTCACATCCGCCAACGGCGACACATGCGGACTGACACCCCCGCGCCGCTCCAAATCCGCCAACTGCAACGACGTCCGCAGCTCGAACAACGTATCCCCGCCGAACATCGCCGCAATGAACGGGCAATCCGGCTTAAGGATAGAGTTGACCTGCGCCAGCAGCGAGGGCAGATCATTGATCCAGTGAATCGAGAGCGAGGAGAGCACCGCGTCGAAGGAGTTCTCCGGGAAGGGGAGGGATTCGAGATCAGGCACGATTTGCCGCTTTAGAGAGATCTGGTCGTTGAAGGGCTCGTCTGCGTCACGGTACAGAAGGGCCTCGGAGGTGTCGATGCAGGTTAATTGTCCGATGCGAGTGCTGAGGGGTGGGGAGCTGCCGTTGGGAGCGTCGGGGTCTGGATCGGGCATTGTGAGAGCGCGGGCGATGTTGCAGCTGTTGGCGCCGAGATCGAGGACTTGGGGGAAGGTGCGTTTGATGTCCTATTTTTCATTGTCATTTCCCATTCAGTATTATGTTTATCTCTATCTGTAGGGGATGGTGTGGAGAGCATACCAGCAACCGCTCACATAGCCGCATGGCTACTTCGTCCTTGATGTAGTCGGTCTTGCGGCTCTCCTCGACATTGCGGGCTGCGCGGTCCTTCTGCATGTGCTTTGTTTTGCGATTGAAGATTTCCATGACTGGATTGCCGGGCGTTTGGCTTGCGTAGGTGCGGCGTGATGGACATGATGATGCTGATGATGATGATAATGTGTAGGTGGGTGTGCGTTTGGTGTAGATGCGCGGGGAGCGCAGTGCTGGTCGAAATATGTGAGATAGAGACATTTTGAGGTCTCTGGGTTTTGAATTGGAGTTGGTTTGTTGGAATTGAGAGGAGGGAGAAAGGGTTTAGAGGGAAGGGAAAAAAGTTGGAGGCAGCTCAGCAGCAGCGGAACGTGACGTCGGCGAGAAATCCCATTCCATCTCCGCATTTTCTCCCGCCACGTCGCGTCCTCTTGTCGCGGGGTTGTTCTCTCTAGAATTTCTTAATGTGTGATGGGTCTTATGGGTATGTTGGAAGCAGATTACATTGAGGTGTCAATTTGAATGGTTCTATGTGATTCGATTTATCGGTGCTTTAGGTGTGGTGCTTCCTGTTTCCCCCTGATGTTGTTTTCGGGCTTCCATACTGATTTGTTGATGATGCGCCTAGAATGCAATAAGCAATATCTTGATCGAGCTCTACAACATGTCACGTCCCTTCCCTTACACTTTTATATCTTGTCCTTGCGCCAATATCCCTGTACCTGATCCGGCGAAGAAACGGAGATCGAGGGAGTCGCCGCAGAAATCCAACCCCGATCAACCCAAATCTCTCCTGCGCCCGGATGACGACGAAGATGAACAGGCTTTTGATCCTCGGTCTCCGCGCGCCAATTTCTCTCTGTATCCCCCGGAGCAGCTGCTTTACTGCGAGGACTGCCATCAGATCAAGTGCCCGCGATGCATAACGGAGGAGATTGTGTGCTGGTACTGTCCGAACTGTCTGTTCGAGACGCCCAGCAGCATGGTTCGGAGTGAGGGGAATCGGTACGTTAAGCAGGATATACGAGCCTCAAGCTTTTATAGGTGTATGCTAATGCGGCGAATGCTAGATGCGCTCGCAATTGCTTCAACTGCCCGATATGTACCGCCCCCCTGGGCGTCAACACCCTCGAGAACGTCGTGACAGGCGGCACCAGCCAACAGGGCCCCTGGGTGTTGTCTTGCGGATACTGCATGTGGTCGACTTTGGATATTGGCATCAAGTTTGATAAGCCGACCAACATCCGGACTCAACTGTCCAAGATGACCGAAGTCACTCCTGCTCGCTCGAGACAAATGTCCCGGACATTCGGGGACCTCAAATCTCCCCTCTCCACTTACTCCTCCATCGATGAGCAATTCCTACCACCAGGAGAGACCAAGCCTGAAGATTCCCCTCTGGACCAACCCAGTGCTCCTCTCACTCCTGATGCTCGATTTCACGCCCTCAAGAACTTCTATAAGAACCAGATCTCCGCGACATCCTCCTCCCCAACAGACCCCCTAGGCATGGACTTCGGATCTGGGTTCTCCTCCCCCGGTGCCCTAAACCGCATCATGTCCCTTTACACTTCGTCATCCCGCCTCAGCAGCCTCTACGGCGGAGCCAACAAGAAGCCCAAAACCAAACCACCCGTCATGCGAGAAGCCCTCACAGCCGGCGAGGGTCTCAAGATCCCCTCCCCGGACGCCGAAGACACACTCATCCAACGCATGTCCTCCCCGGACTGCGGATGGGACGGCCTGGCTTCCATCGAACAACGCGCGTTCCAATCCCCAGACGCCCGGTTCGTAGAGGACCTCCTTCCGCTGCCCGTGTTACTTCGTACAAAACGGTCCAAACGATGCAAGTCGTGCAAGCACATCCTCGTCAAACCCGAACTGAAACCACAGTCCACGCGGTTCCGTATCCGCCTGATAGCCCTCAGCTACATTCCCTTGCCGACATTACGGCCGCTGAACCCCAGTCCCTCCCCAGCCACCACCACTACCACCACCGTTCTCCCGGCACCTTCAAGTTCCACGACGAACCCGAACCTGGATGCTCTCTCCCCACTCCGACCCATCCAACTCCTCCTCACGTTGAAGAATCACATGTTCGATCCCGTCCGCGTCACACTCGCCACGCCATCCGTCACTCCGGGCCGCGTGGCCTCCAAGGTAACTATCCTGTGTCCGCAATTCGACATTGGCGCCAACAGCGACGTGTGGGACGAAGCCCTCCAGGGTACTTCGGCTACCACTACCCCAGCCACATCCACGGGAACTGACCCCCGCGGATCCCGATCCGGAGGGCTCGGCGTGTACGAGAAAGTCGCAGAAGCCGGGAAAGTCTGGGACAAGGGACGGAACTGGACCACCGTGGTGTTGGAAGTCGTACCGGGGACATTACCTGGTGGTGCAAAACAACCCTCCGCCAACAATACCAAGAAAGACAAGAAGATGAAGAAGACGAAGGCCCCCGTCGATGATGAGCTAGACGACCAGGATGACAACTCTGACGATGATGACTCCGACTCCGACCCGGGATTTGATTGGAGCGGACAAACATCTGACCCCAATGAGCAGTTACAGCCGGATGAAGATGTGTTGGAGATCCCGGTGTTTGTGCATATGGAATGGAATTCGGATAATCAGATTGACAGTGAGCAGGGGGTGGGGAGGGCTGGAGCGGGTGGAAATGATACGGTGAAAAGGGAGTTGGCGTATTGGATGGTGTTGGGGGTGGGGAGGATAGTAAGGGAGATCGTGTAGATAGATGCATGGATGTTTAGTTCTGACGTTGCTTTGTGTATAGATGTGATGATTGATGGATGTTGGTGATACCTTGTTTTCTTTTTTTTACTAGATATACATATATCGCATCTTTCTCATTTTTGATTCCAGAGCAGTCAATAGCCATCAAATGCTGGTGGGTATAGTAGTGGTTCACGACCTATGACATGATGGCTACTACTACTAATTGACATGATATAACGAACCCACAATAGAGTAACTATAAGGCTTAGCCCCCTTCCTGGCAGCAATAGCCCTAGCGACTCCTACCAACAAGACTCAAAAGAGTCCAGTTACTTAAATATTGCAAAATAATATAACAGTCACATGCTACTAGTACCAGCTCAATCTACAGTATACTACTCAGCTACCCAACCCCCCACCTACACTCTCAAAAAAATTAAATGTCAAAGATCATACACTCGACAACACAATGCATTTTCTTTTCCAGGCAATTCCCCTAAGCCCTATAGCTAGCTAGCTACCCTAGCAACCAAGTTTCCTTCTCCTCCCCCCCCTTTTTTTTATTTTGAGAATGACATGACAAAATGAACAAATGAAACTCGAAGACAGACATGAAGATTTGAACTTTGACTTTCCTTTTTCAAACTCTCAATTCCCTTAATACCCGATTGTTTTTTGTTTTTCGCCCCGAATCCCACCCAAAGATAAAACACATGTACCATGTACCGGAACCGACCGACCGACTGACCGAAAGAAAGATACCTGACCAGAACCTCACTGTCTCAATCCTCAACCCCACAAGAGCCGCAAGCAAGAAGGTGTCTAACTGACTGACTGACTGACGGCTGAGGTGGGTGTGTGGGAGGGGAACATGCAGGAAACAAAAAAGGGGGGTTGGTGATGGGGGATGGGGAGATCGTAGTTTAATGTTTCTGCATGTCCCTGAGCCCACGTGCAATATATGGTACGTGATTTTCCGAGGGAAATCGACGAGTAAAAAAAATATGGAAGAAACGGCAAGAAAGATGGGAGGAGAGAATAGGACGGAGTAAGAAGAAAAAATTGAGGTAAGAAGGTCAAATCAAATTTTTAGTCTCTTGTCTTGTCACATTTGTCACTTGTCAAATTAAAAAAGGAAAAAAAAAAGAGGGAAAAAAAAATTTGATTCCTTTTTTTTTCACTCTCTAGTAGTCGGCACCACCCTGGGGGAATTCAAAGACAACAGCACGGCCAGTCAACCGACGGTAGACCTCGCCGTAGGCATCAAGGCGGTGGTCAACACCACCACGCTCCTTCTCGTCCAGGATGACCTTGAGGGTCTTGGAGCCGTCCTCCTTGGTGCGGGTACGCTTGCCGACGATCTCGACGGGGTAGACGAGGTCGGTGAGGATGGCGTCGTGGACAGCAGTCAGAGTGCGGGAACGGGGACGCTTCTGCTTCTGGTTGGAACGAGAGCTGGCGGAGCGCTTGGGGCGGGGCAGGATGCGGCGCTGAGCAACGAAGAGGACGTGGCGGTCGGAGAACTTCTTCTCGAGCTCACGGGTCAGACTATAGAAGGGGAGTCAGTTATATGGTTTCTGGTGTCGTTTCTTTTTGCTGCTACGCTTCTGGTAGTTGTGGGCATGTGGCTGGCACATTCCGGGGTTGGTGTATTTTTTTTTTGTCTCATGTGGAGGTGTGGAGTGGAAAATCGTACCGCTGCTGGATCTTGTGGAAGCCCTGGAGGAGAGGGACAGGGACGAAGATGATGACTGCCTTCTTGCCGTGGCCGACCTCGACCTATGGTGATAGTAGAGTCAATATCAAATTGCGCACAATCCGAGAGAAAAACAAATGAATTTTTCAAATTCCCAATTCGCGCAGCAGATCAGAGTTGAGTGTCGATTGGTTGTTGGGACGATTCAATTCGTGTTTTTCTTTTCTCTTCTTCTTCTTCTTCCTCAATGCTGGTGGTATGTGATCCCAAAGCACACACGTATACACCATCCAGGTGCAGACCGCACAAACACACAATATCCACATTGATATTTGATATTTCCCAGAACGTCTCTCGTATGTTGGCAATTTCCGCGAATTCACAAAACTCTCGACCCTCTCTGATCTGTACACGGACGGAGGCTATGAATGAAAAAACCAAATCATCCTTACCTCACGGGCAGAGACAAACTGCAGGGGCCTGAGGGTGGCCTTCAGGTCCTGTGTGTTGCTCTCGAGGTCGAAGAGAGCACCGGCGATCGCGGTCTCCAGCTCGGAGGGGTTCTGCCTCGACGGCGAGTTGATGGCGATCTTGTTGATAGCAGCCATGATTGCAGACGAGCGACGGGTAGCTGGCTGTGCTGCGGATGCTGCCTTCTGTCGTGAGGTTGGTTGTCGAGGTTGGTGGTTGAACGGAGATCTCTCGAACGTCCTCCAATTTGCGCTTGGGTCGGCTGTGGGATCGGAGGCTCGGCCTCTCGCTTAGCGGGTGGCCGTAGTCCCGTTTAGGCCTAGTTAGGGGATGTCTGGTCCCGTGACCCTTCTGCCCTTTTCGGATCATCAACCATTAACCAACTACTACCATGCAGGTTTGCGAGAAATGCTTGCTTATCTATCATACTAATCCTCATATAATACAAATTTCATTGCATTTGGATCGCAGAATTCGCATTCTATGACTATGGTTGACTGGCAATGAACCTGACCGGTTCTCTGTACAAATCTTTGCCATTCCCTTAATCGCCATACTAACTCTGCATAGTCATTGGGAACAAACAGAAAAAAAGATAAAGAAGTAGTGCAGTACCATAGCAGAGCAGAACAGAACAAAACACTCGAGACGCCGGGAAATGAGAATGGATCAAGCCGCATGTCAGTCTGGTCCTGACGGTCGGGGAATCACTGCCGCAGGATATTACCGTGTAATCAACCTGACATTGTATCGAACAGTAAAAGGACGGTTGCAAAAACAAAAGAAGCACGACCAAAATCTCATGACACGCTGCAAAAACAATCCGAGATTAGCAGGCACACCCTTCCTTTGCAGTTGCCGGGCCACGCTCCCCCAGGTTGACCCGCGAGTCTTCGGCCGGACGACCGCTGTTCAGGCTAGTCTGGCCCGTGCCAGCGCCACCTGCTCGTCCGCTCTTCAGGCTGCTCTCCGGGATCGCGTTAGCAATCGCAGTAAAGACATCCACGACATTCGTGCCCGTCTTGGCACTGGTCTCGAAGAACAAGAGACCCTCTTCCTCCGCGTAGGCGCTAGCTTCCCGTGTAGGCACCTTCCGAGCATCACCGGAAGTGACATCCTGTGCTTCCTGAGGTTCTTCGGCGGTTTCATCTGCATCGGCCGTAGACGATTCGCCCTCGGCATCAGCGGGCGACTCCCCGGCCGCCTCGTTCCCGTCGTTTGTCAAATCCAGCTTGTTACCAACGAGAGCGATCACAATGCCGGGACTAGCTTGTCGCTGGAGTTCCGCAACCCAGTGCTTAGCCTTTGTGAGAGAGGACGGTTTGGTAACATCGTAGACCACGAGCGCCGCCTGGGCGTTACGGTAGTACATGGGAGCGAGCGAGGCGAAACGCTCCTGACCGGCGGTATCCCAAATTTCGAACTTGATCGTTCGCGTAGGCAGAGAGCATTTTTGGGTGAGGAATGCAGCTGTAATAGATAGACAATGACATCAGCATCGGAGATACGGCCACTTTCGGGAACCAAGAGAACCGGGAACAATTCCCTTCTTCCTTTTCCTTTCTCTCTCTCTCTTCCCAAACTGGAAAAGTGATCTGTAACTGCTACAGTCGGGAGAAGCTTACCTCCGATAGTCGGTTCTTTGTTCTCTTGGAAATCGTTGTTGACAAATCTCAGCACCAGTGAGGACTATAATGGGCAATCATCGATTGGGTTCATTGTCAGTCTCTTTTTTTTTTCTCTCTGGTTACTCAGGTATCACGCGGAGGTCAGAGCTAGGAAAGTGACGAGGTTGCTCGTACCTTTCCCACAGCGGCTTCACCCAAAAGTACCAGCTTGACGCTGCTACTCGGCTTGGGAGTATTTGTGCTAGTTGATTCAGACATGGCTCGAGAGCCCAACGAAGGCGATGAAGGTATGCGATCAGGTCGTCTTGCAGGACAAGCCCACACTAGGAATGATTATCAATCTGAAGGATGATTTCAGCTCGCAAAGGGCGGCTCAGGCCGGGCGATACAGAGAGCACTGCTCGGGAGTAGAAGCCTGAAGGAAGACGTAAGCAAGACACACGAGGGAACTCCGGAGGAGGGGGTGTGGTGGAAATGGCCAGAATCGAGCAGGGGTTAATGTGACGGAGGGAACATTGGAGGAGATAAATGGACAAATAAGAAGAAGGTATACTACGCACCAGTACCAGAGTGAAATGGCGGTGGACGGGGAAAGGTGATGGAGAGAGAGCGCAATGACGGCGAGAGAGAGGGAGAGAGAGATGCTACGGCCTAGGTAGATACGCAGTGAGGCGGAGGGTGAAGTAGATGGCGGCGCGATGCCTGACTCGGTTAGCGCGCCCAAGGCGGGCGGGCAGTCACGGGATGTTCCCGCAATTCTCCAAACAGAAAAATTACTATCTTTATTAGTCAATTTTTTGGTGCTCTTCAGGTACCAGTCAGAACTTCGCGGGTGCTACTGGTCCCATGGGGAGGAAATGGCAGACAAGACTTAGGATGAGACAATTGTGGCTCTGCGGGTAAACCAGGTGACAACAGCGGAGAGGCACAGGTTGGAAGGGTTTAGGGCTGTTTGGTATCTCCTTCTGTCCAGTTGATTTCCCACACTCGACCTGTAGATACATCCGACGTACATGGGGAAAGCAGCTGCTGCTCCCCTAAACTATTTCCTGAAACGAAGCAGCTTACCCGTGACACCTGCTGTCGATACCCATCGAGACATCAACCGGCTCCAACGCAGAAGATAGATAGTATTTCCTCATACACTATCATTCCATCATTGGGGCCTGACTACCGCGGGAAATGCGACAGATCATCTTTCTAGAGAAACCCTCCAAACCCCGACCACAACCCTCAGGGCTTCCATGATTGGTAGGCAAGCGATCTGGCCCAACTCAACGCCAGGATTATCCATAAGGTGCATATCTATAGGTCGCAAAGTAGGCACGGGGTAAACAACAACAACAAAGACCGAGAGAACAACAGCATGCCATGGCGTCCGAGCCATGACGTGCCAATAGGTCCCTCAACGGCCCATGATCGCCGGCCAGACAGTTGGAAACGCCTCCCCAATGGCATCCAGTCGTGTCACGGAGCCAACGTTGCACGACATGATTTGTGCAGAGCCGGTGGCTGCCCAAAAAAGAAGCACATGCACGCCGTTCAGAACTTCTTGATTCTCGACCAGGGATCCACCCAGATAATGCCACTGCCTTCTCCCCGGCAAATCAGATTGAAGAAGCTCTGTGGGCTCCCGTCAAACAACCCTGAAGACAATCACGGTTTAGATGTCATCGTCGGCGTCTCGTCCGAGTGCCGAATTTCTTTTCCCCAAGTCCTCACTTATCCAGCTGACTTGCAGTTTTCCCCCGTAATGGTGCAGTGGGTTGCGATTTCCAAAATATGGAGTGACACGCCAGTGTAGTAGTACTAGTAGTAGCAGTAGTCATAATTACCCAAACCATGGACTCGGATTTATCTGTGCCAGTGCCAGTGGTAGTGTGCACATTCGCGCAAACTCATACACAATTGTCCACATTGACGCAACCACGATGAAGTTCGCTCGGTTTAGAATATAATGAAGCATTGAAGATAACTAGAATCAATTTTTAACAGCAAACTGTATTAAGGAGCAAATGATGACGAAATTGTAAGGAAAATAAAAATAAAATAAATGAAATCCAGGTATTTGACCGCGAGGTCCAACGTTCTAGTCTGTCTTGGTATCAATCCATGTATCCCAAATCAAAGAAAATAACCCCATCCCGTCTATTCCCAACGCCAGTAGTAAAGCAGACCAAGTAAAAATAACAACAAATCTCGACAAATCACTTTTGGTGGAACAGATCATAGACCTGAGCTGGTTCGTGTCGGCGGATTAAAGGTGTATGAAGGCAAAAAGAACGGTCGATCGAAGAATTGAAAAAGAAGAGGTGGTGGCCGTGTCGTTCCATGGTGAGAAGAAAAATGTCCACGGCGGAAAGGGCGTGATTAGAAAGTATGTAGAAACCGAAACCAGTGGCGGCAAAAGGACAACGCAGTAAGAGCAGGAAATAGTAGTGGTACAGGAAACTATGATTCGTTGTTAGTCGGGAACCAAACCACCCGGGAAATGCTGTGTCTAGGCAACTTACAAGCTCGACTTCATAGTAGTCACGTCAAACTCCAGGAGCCATGCGCCAGTTGCAAGTCACAAATAACTTTTCGCTCGAGAGAACAACAGAACAGCAGCATGTGGTTGGCAGATGTCTCCAAGGGTTTCATCGGGTCGAAGGCGGCGGCGGTGGTGCACCCGGCTTCTTGACTCCGGTAGTGTCGTAAGCTCCTCGTCCCATGTTGAAGGCTGACAGATCTCGCAATATCATTTCAGATTCTGAGCGAAAGGCCATGGTCAGATGCTGAAGGTTTTTCTCTTTTGGAAAGGAGTGGAAGACGGTGGGAAAGATATAGAAAAGCGAAGGCGGATGTTTTGATGGGAAGTGTGTTTCAAGCCTGGGAGAAGTGTACTCACAGGAAGATTAAATAAACACACGACGGGCCCCCCAAAAAAGAAAAATACCAATAATCAAAAAGAGCTCGATTATTATTCTGACTGTGCGTCGTGTTGATAGATCGTGTGTAGGACTAGCGAGGTACCCAAACTATTCCCGGCAGCGAACAGGCGGTAACGACGCAGACAGATGATGCAGGCTGCAGGTCAGATCGGAAGTGGGATCCTTATTAAGGCGCACAAGTCTGACACTGGGTTGGAGACGAGACAGGGTGGTGTAGTGTAGGTCGCGGCAGATCTGAGTAGGGCAGGAATGCGACTGTCGAAGTACCAAGAAATGGGCGTGTAAGAATGAGGAAGGGTGGAGTCCTTAAACCCAGTCGACAGGTCGCTTTTTTCTTTTGTTTTTTCCCTCTTTTGATGCTCTTTAGACACTCATGCGGTTCGAAGACGTTTATTTTCTTTTTCCTTCTTTCCCCTTGGGAACTTTTTTCCAGGTGGCAGAGCGATGAGAGATAAAAAGTACGCGAGACGTGCAGATGGTAATAGGAAACAAGCGCGATCTGATCAAGAACCAGCGACCAAGGACACGGAGGACGACTAATGCAGCCGGCAAGGAGGTGATCCTGGAAAGGAGCAC